CAGTGTCAGTTTACCTTGATGATATCTGCATAGGTGGGGATAATTTCCCAGAAATGTTGCAAAGATTAGAAGCTCTATTCAACAGGATCAGGTCAGCAGGTTTCTTGCTAAAAGCAAAGAAATGTGTGCTATTCCAGCCAGAAGTATCCTATCTGGGACACAGGTTATCTGAAAAAGGAATAAAAACAGATCAAAATAAAATATAGAAAATAATGAGTTGGCCAGCACCAACTAATGTCAAAGAGGTAAGATCATGCCTAGGTTTAGTTCAGTACTACTCTAAATATGTCCCACACATGGCAACCATAGCTAATCCAATATTTAAGTTGCAAAAGAAAGGGCAAGAATTTGAGTGGACCACAGAGTAGAGTGTCAAGAGGCATTTGATAAAATCAAAACACTCCTGACAACAGCACCAATATTAGGTACACCAGATGTGGGGGGTTTGATGGGAGTTGGTCTCTCATGATCCATAGCCAGCCTCAGAGTGTAACCTTTCAAGTTGTAACTGTGTTGCTTGTGTTGGGCAGGTGGAGGTTGGAGGAACAAAATCCCAGTTTTATCGTCTTTGCTGGTGTTGATGTAGTGTATTGGAGTACAACGACGAGGAAGACTCAAGTTTGAAGCTCTGCGGGTGAGTGCAAGCTGTACAGTAGGTACTGTTTTCTTTGTATGTTAAAGGTGATTGTTGTTGTGCAAATGAAAGTTGTTGATAGACATTTAATGTTAATTTGAGCTCTTTATTTCACAGGGCCGTTTGTGTGCTACCTGATAGTTACAAAACAATTTGTACACGTAAGACTTTTCTGGCCAGCAGGAGGAAAAGCAGTAAGTAGGTTGGTGAATGAGTTGTAAAGAAGGAATCTCTATTATGTTCACAGAGTAGTTTTTGTGGTGATACGTAGGATTGATAATTGAGGAGCACAAGTAGATGTTATCTCTTTAATGGGCAGAGCCAGACTGACGATAGCAGAGGGATTACATAGTGTGCATAAGTTGTAGTGCAAATAGTCAGAGGGTCAATAAGGTTGCAGAAGTAATTACAAGTAAACATTACAACACCTCCCCTAAGTTTTGAAAATTGCAAAGTTTAAAAACTGATAATAAATAAATTAAAATTACATACATGCTGAGGATTAAAATTGAATTATTGATACAGAATTGCTGAGTGGATAATTAATTATTGAGAATGTGGATCAAACAATCAAACAGGTAAACAAGTGCAGGGGGCAAATTAAATTGTCAAGACAAACAGTAATCACAATAAGAAATAAGTAATAACTAACATTTCCCTTCTTCCCGAGGGAGTCAATTTGCTAGAAATGAAGAGATTAGTTTTGTACATGATGAGCAATTGTCTAAATTGATTGACAACACAATATGCAATGGCAAGCAGTAATATACACAAAGTTGTTTTTTACATGTAGCAAAGCGAGGTTAAAATCAGGTACAAGTCACAAGTTGAGATAAGTTTCAGATACAGGATTCAGGTATTAATTATTAAAACAAACCAAATGAATATTCATTAGTTGGATACTTCGTGCTTGGTACTGGCGTTCTACACGATCTTCTTTGGGGCTGTTGGTTTGTCAATGCCTTCTTGCGTTTTCTCTTTTTATTTTTCTCAGGTGTTCGAGAGGAGCTGGCAGTTGCAGATTGTTGCGAGGCATTCACGGTCTCAGGCTGCTGTGCAGAATTGACAGTCAGCGTTGGTGGTGATTTCGTCATTTCTTGCCTTGGTGGTGAGTTCAAAGCTTCATCAGTTGGATCTGGTTGGTCTGCTTCGTTGATCTCAGGTGTTATCTTCTCATTTGTTTTTGAGACTGATGTTGCGTTGTCAGCGTACCACAGGTAAGATTTCTTCTTGTTTTCTGGTTGTTTTAAATTCAGGGTCGTCAGAGTTGAGGTTGAGGTAAAGTCTGGTCTTATGTGTCTTGATGTTCGTACCACTTCATTGCCTTTCTCATTTTTCACCAGATATGATCTCAGAGCAGAAGTACTTTTCTCAAGAATGACAGCAGATTTCCATTTGTTTGTGCGTCCATCAGTGATCAGCACAGGTTGTTCTTTTACAAATTTCACTTCTTTCTTTGAGGCTGTTCTGTTGTAGTAGTCTGCTGCTTTCTTTTGAAGTTCTTTGAGTTTTTCTTGAACTTCTGTTTGGATTTCAGGATGGAGCATTTCTTCTGAGATTGGTAAAGTTGTTTTCAGTCTTCTGTTGAACATTAATTGTGCTGGTGTTGCATTTCATCCAGATATTTTCATGTTTCTGTAGTTCAGAAGTGCTAGTGAGATGCTGCTCTAGTCTTCTTTTGGCAATATCCACTGCTTTTTCGGCTTGACCGTTTGACTGTGGATAATTTGGTGAGCTGTACACATATCGGAAAGGTAATATCTGCGTCAGGGCTTGACATTCTGCAGAGTTGAATGGGTTATTGTCGGTAAAGACAATATCAGGTACTCCAAATCGGTGAAACAATTCTTCAAGATGGCTGTTAGTTTCTTTTGCTGATTTGTTCTACAGTTTCAGGATTTCAAGCAATTTTGAGTAAACATCTTGAACAACCAGATAGTCTGTGCCTCCAAAGTGCAGAATATCAGCTGCCAAATGAGACCATGCCCTTGTGGGAATGTCTCGAAGTGCCATTCTTTCTTTCTTCTTTAGGGGCTGGAAAGTTGCACAGATTTTACAGGCATGAATCATGTCTGAGATGTCCTTGTAGAGTCCTGGCCAGTAAACCGTTTCAATTGCAAGTGAGTTGGTTTTAGATATGCCGAGGTGACCGAGATGTAATTTCTTCAGCATTATTTCTCTTAGTTTAACAGGAATTATAGCTCCTGATTCACAAAATAATATGCCATTATCTTCATGAACTTTTTCTCTGTTTTGCCAATAAGGCTTGAGCTTTTCTGGAAGCTGAGTTTTGCTGTCAGGCCAACCTTCATAAACATATTTTTCAAGTTCTTGCATTTGTAGATCTTCACTTGTTGCTTTCCTGATTTGTTCCTTGAGTGGGTCAGAAACACGAAGCAATATGGTAACTGAGTGAATGGTGGTTGTTATCTGGATTTCATCTTCTGGCTTACATGGTAAACAATCTCGGCTCAAAAGGTCTGCTACATGGCACGTTAGTTCGTTACTGACAAATGGAACGGTAACGCGTTAACGTTACACCTTTGGAATAAATGTAACGCGTTACCGTTAATCGTTACATAACGAGTAACGCGTTACAGTAACGCCGTTACTTCGTTACATAACGTTAACAACCCTGACCCACGCCTGACCGCTGCACTCCCGCGACATCGGAGGGTCCTCCGACATCCAGGTAACTTCCCGTGCTTCAAACGCTATTGAAATCTAGCACTATGCTGCTTTCAATGAGCCTGTGATTAGTTTAAAAGGCGAACACACAGCAGAGCACAAATATAAAGAAGCTTAAGTTCCGTAATCAAACATCAGAGAAAGCAAACATTTTTGGCTGAGCGATCAGCGAAGCCCATTACTCCAGTGATGATCAAAAAGTTTCGCGTCTGTCTGTCTGTCTGTTTGTCTGTCATCAAGATAACTCGAAAACGAATTGAGCTAGCGACCTGGGATTTTCAGGGTCGTTTTGTATCATAAAAAGACAGATCAAGTTCGAAGTAGAGCATTCTAGCTCAAAAAATGGATTTAAAAAAAATCAAAAACCACAGGTAACCAAAATGACGTTTTAAAAAAAAAAAATTTTAATGTTTCCTAAGGAGTAACTCATCAAACTAGAGGCCTTTGGACGAAAATTTCGTCCGTTTGGCTCTATCTCTAACCGTTGAGGCGCCAGACACTGTTTTTCACACGGAAATGACCCCAAACCATTTCAAAGTTTTTTCTCAAATATTTCATGGTCTCTGAAGGGTCAGCTCGTCAAAATAAAACCCTGGGGAGCAATAATTGTGACTTTTGGGGCCGAAGGCCTACTTACGACTCTGTCTTTTGTTGGACTCGGGTGTCAGCGCCGCAGGCCTAGGTAGATGTATGCCAGGCGCGTCGCAGCGTAACAGTGTTTCGTGAGATATCGCGAAGCCTGTTACGCGAGACGTAGTCTGGCGTACATCTACCTACACTGTAAAAAAGGTTTTACTGAATTTTCAGTACTTTCAGTCTGAATTTTTTTTACAGACCAGTAGTCCAAGAATTCAGACTGCACCCGGGTCTGAAATTTCATAAGTGCCTCACCATACCACTTAGTCTGAAAATTCAGACAGCTGGTATGATTTTTTTTTTAAATGTTAAAAATGAACACATATCGAGTGACTTAACAGTTGTGGGGGTAGAGGGCAATGCCCGGGTGAAGCCATTTCTGTCCATTCGGTACTGCCTTTGGTTGGGATCGAACCGCCGACCTTTAGGTTCGGAAGCCGCAACCTTAACCATTCGGCTGCCGGCTACCTGCGTGGGAAGCGGCGTCGGCTACTGGTGTGCTTCGTCCGCCTGTCCAGTGGACTTTCCACTCAAAATTCATACCGGTAACCTATGAATTATAGATTCAGTGTTTAGTCTGAAAATAAACTTTAAAATATTCAGACAAATTGCTCTGAAAACCTGATTCAGAGTAAAACAAGCAGGCCCGCCCTTCCGCCAAACGAAGTTGCCAGGTCCGCTTCACTCCGCCGGCAACTCCGTTCGGCAGGGGCCGGGCCTGCTTGGCCTGCCAGCGGCGATGGTCGGGCCTGTGGCCCGACCATTTCTGTCACGCGATTTGCTGAAGAACATGACCGAATGATGTAGCGGGCCTTCGGCCCACTTAAACCTGTCATCTTTGAGTTTGCCCCAAAGACTCGAGAAAGAGATGTAACGGTGAAGCACCGCGACTACAACCCACCCTTCTGCTTAGAAAACGTTTTTTGGGGGTGGGGGAAAGTTTCCTTTCTATTTTGCGGTTTTTAGGCCTTTTCCTAGATCTTATTGTTCACTATGGCAATTTTTAGCTTTTTTACGTCTGAAAAGACCCTCCAGCGCCTAAACGGTTAGAGATAGAGCAGATCGGACGAAATTTTCGCCCATAGGGCTCTACTTTGACGAGTTACCCCTTAAGAGACCATCCAATATTTTCGAAAATTAATAAATTTATTTTTGGGCCACTTTTGTGAGAGAAACTCACTCTAGCGCCCAAACGGTGAGAGATAGAGCAAAACGGACGAAATTTTCGCCCGAAGGGTTCTACTTTCGCAAGTTACCCCTTAGGAAATCATAAAAAAAAATATTTTTTCCAACTTTTTTGCCCTTTCCTGTTTTCTTCGATACCCCCTTTCAGCCCCTT